CTCCTCCTTCCCACTATTATTTGCCTCTTCCCCTCGTTGCTATGCAACTAACCCATTTGTCATGTTAGCCCTGTTTGGTACACATTATTTTTTTCATTCTCATTTTTTTACTCATTTTCAATCACACATTTTTCAATAAAATAATATTTTCCATCACATCAATAACTTTTCCTTCATTTTTAATCACACATTCTCCATCAATTTACAATTCAATAATACATTCTTTCAAAAGAATGTGCCCCAAACACACTCTTAATTATGATAGTCAAAATCGTACTTTGGCACATGAATTTGGCTATTTGTACTCCCTCACAACAGTGGGGAAAATCGCGGTAATTGGGTGTACATATAGCATTTCTCTGACACATAGTTACTTGGGTGTACTTATATGTTAGATACACATTTTTTTAAAATTTATTTTCAAATGCACATTTTTCAATATAATAATATTTTTATCACAATAATAATTTTTTCTTACTTTTTAATAACATATTTCTTATCATATCATTATTTAGAATATATTTTTTTATTAATAATATCTATCAAACACACACCACATTGCAAATTGAATATAAAATTTTGCTTTGGACCCGAATTCCTCTTGAATCAGTCCGAACTACTAAGTAGAGTAATCGGTTCTTGATCGTTCTTTTGTTTAATGGATCAATTAATGAACCCAACTGATGATGCCAAAATTCATATTTGGGCCAACCCGAATTGGATGGAAGAGCTCTGCTTGATTCGATCTTCAATACCTGAAATAAAGGCGTCGAGGTGTGTCATCGTCGCCCCTCCGATACTTAAGTCAGACAAGTGTGCAAGAAATATACTGGAATGTTATGAAAACATACCTGAATAATAAGGCTAGATTATGTATTTATAGATGTTGGAGGGGGAGTTCCGGAATGACTTAACTTCCTGTAATTCTATTTATTTTACGTGTTTGTATTGTGTTAAAAGTGCACAATTTGTGTTAGGGTAAAATTTGTAATGAACTAGGAGTTTATACTCAAGTAGGACTAGTATTTCTAGGCCTGGCCTCATAATGGACCCGACCTCAGAATCAGCCCAGTTGGAGTGGGCTAAGATCGGGCCTACTAGCTCAAGTAGCTCAATCTCGGGCACATCGTTATTTTTTCTACATCACAGGCCCCCGTGCATCCAAGTCGCAGCTCAAAAGTTACGTGCTTGAGCTGCAAGGTGAGATGCAAAGAGGCGCAACGAGTTTAATCTTTGTTCGATTTGCAATTTGTATGTAGCTTAAGTCCGTTACTTAGCCAATTTTTGGCCAA